AAAAAATTTGGGCTTTTTTGGAGGAAATTTGGGGTTTTTTTGATGATTTTTGGGGGTTTAAAAGCAAAATTTGGGAATTTTTCAGGGATTTTTTTTTGGGAGGAATTTGGGAATTTTTTTGGAGGAATTTTGGGGTTTTGGTTTGGAAATTTAAAAAAAAAATTCGTGATTTTTTGAGGAATTTTTGGGGTTTTTTTGAGGCATTTTCAAGGAAATTCTGGAATTTTGGAGGAATTTTCAAGGGAATTTTGGGAATTTTTTGGGGGAATTTTCAGGGATATTTTTGGGGTTTTTTGGAGGAATTTTGGTTTTTTTCCAGGAATTTTTAGGGTTTTCTTGAAGAATTTTTTGGAGGATTTTTGGGGTTTTTTGGAGGAATTTTCAAGGAAATTCTGGGAATTTTGGAGGAATTTTCTGAGAAATTTTGGGAATTTTTTGAGAAATCTTCAAGGCTATTTTGGGGGTTTTTTTGGACCAATTTTGGGATTTTTAAAGGAATTTTCAAGGAATTTTTTGGGATTTTTTGGACAATTTTTGGGGGAATTTTTGGGAGGATTTTTGGGATGAATTTGGGATTTTTTTGGGGAATTTTTGGATGAGTTTTGGGACCAATTTGGGGAATTTTTTCAGCAATTTTGGGCAATTTTTGGGATTTTTTTTTTGGCAATTTTTGAGGAATTTTTTGGATTTTTTTGGGATGATTTTTGGGAGGATTTTTGGGATGAACTTGGGATTTTTTTGTGGAATTTTTGGATGAGTTTTGAGACCAATTTGGGGAATTTTTTTTCAGCAATTTTGGACAATTTTTGGGATTTTTTTTCGGGCAAATTTTGAGGAATTTTTGGGACGATTTTTGGGTATTATTTTGGGATTTTTCCAGGAGTTTTAGGGATTCTTTTGGAGAATTTTAGGAATTTTCCAAGGAATTTGGGATAATTTTTGGAAGGAATTTCTGGGGATTTTCTTGGGAGAAATTTTGGATTTTTGGGGATGAATTTCAGGGATTTTTGCGGATTTTACTGGGAATTTTTTTTTGATTTTTCAGGATTTTTTTGGGGGAATTTTTGGGAATTTTTTGGGATTTTTCCAGGAGATTTTGGGATTCTTTTGGTGAATTTTAGGGATTTTCCAAGGAATTTTGGGGTAATTTTTGGAAGGAATTTTTGGGGAATCTCTTGGGAGAAATTTTGGATTTTTGGGGATGAATTTCAGGGATTTTTGCGGATTTTACTGGGAATTTTTTTTGATTTTTCAGGATTTTTTTGGGGGAATTTTTGGGAATTTTTTGGGGCAATTTTGGGAGGATTTCTGGGATAATTTTGGGATGTTTTTTTTTTGGGAATTCCCACCTGTGGAACATCCGGAAGCGGCGCCGCAGCCGCCCCAGCTCCGCCTTGGCCGGGGAATTTTTGGGAATTTTTTGGGATTCTTTTGGAGAATTTTAGGGATTTTCCAAGGAATTTTGGGGTAATTTTTGGAAGGAATTTCTGGGGATTTTCTTGGGAGAAATTTTGGATTTTTTGGGATGGATTTCAGGGATTTTTGCGGATTTTACTGGGAATTTTTTTTTATTTTTCAGGATTTTTTTCAGGATTTTTTTGGGGGAATTTTTGGGAATTTTTTGGGATAATTTTGGGATGTTTTTTTTGGGAATTCCCACCTGTGGAACATCCGGAAGCAGCGCCGCAGCCGCCCCAGCTCCTCCCGCTCGCGCCGCAGCCGCCGGGAATTCAGGAATTCCGACACCGAATCCAACTCGGCCCCGCTCAGGTCCCCGACGGCGCGGAAGCGGAAGGAGAATTCCCAAAATTCCACCCGGATCCCTGAAAATCCCCAAAAAAAATCCCAAAATTTCACCCGGAGCCCTGAAATTCCCAAAAAATTCCCAAAAAATTCGCAAAATTTCCATTGATTTTCAGCAAAATTCCCAGATTTTCCAGCAAAATTCCCAAAATTCTACCTGGATCCCTGAAATTCCCAAAAAATTCCCAAAATTCCCTCAAAATTCCCAAAATTCCACCTGGATCCCTGAAAGTCCCAAAAAATTCCCAAAATTCCACCCGGATCCCTGAAATTCCCAAAAAAAATCCCAAAATTCCACGTGGATCCCTGAAATTCCCCAAAAAATTCGCAAAATTTCCATTGATTTTCAGCAAAATTCCCAGATTTTCCAGCAAAATTCCCAAAATTCTACCTGGATCCCTGAAATTCCCAAAAAATTCCCAAAATTCCCTCAAAATTCCCAAAATTCTACCTGGATCCCTGAAATTCCCAAAAAATTCCCAAAATCCCCCAAAAAATCCCAAAATTTCACCCGGATCCCTGAAATTCCCCAAAAAATTCCCAAAAAATTTGCAAAATTTCCATTGATTTTCAGCAAAATTCCCAAATTTTCCAGCAAAATTCCCATTGAATTCCCTCAAAATTCCCAAAATTCTACCTGGATCCCTGAAATTCCCAAAAAATTCCCAAAATTCCCACAGAATTCCCAAAATTCCACCCGGATCCCTGAAAATCCCCAAAAAAATCCCAAAATTTCACCCGGATCCCTGAAATTCCCCAAAAAATTCCCAAAAAATTTGCAAAATTTCCATTGATTTTCATCAAAATTCCCAAATTTCCCCAAAATTCCAATTGAATTTCCTCAGAATTCCAAAAATTCCACCTGGATCCCTGAAATTCCCCAAAAAATTTCCAAATTCCCAGCAAAATTCCCTCAAAATTCCCATTGAATTACTCCAAAATTCCCAAAATTCCATCAAAATTCTCCCAAAATTCATAAAATTCCACCTGGATCCCTGAAATTCCCCCAAAAAAATCCCCAAATTCCACCTGGATCCCTGAAATTCCCAAAAAATCCCAAAAGTTTCAGGAAAATTCTCATTGATTTTCATCAGAATCCCAAAAAAAATCCCCAAATTCCACCTGGATCCCTGAAATTCCCAAACACTTCCCTAATAATTCCCAAAATTTCACCTGGATCCCTGAAATTCCCAAAAAATTCCCAAAAAATTCCATTTGGATCCCTGAAATTCCCCAAAAATTCCTGCAAACTTCTAATTGGATTTCCTCAAAATTCCCAAAATTCCACCCGGATCCCTGAAAATCCCCCAAAAAAATCCCAAATTTCCAAGCAAAATTCCCATCGATTTTCATCAAAATTCCCCAAATTTCCCCAAAATTCCAATTGAATTTCCTCAGAATTCCAAAAATTCCACCTGGATCCCTGCAATTCCCAAAAAATTCCCCAAATTCCACCTGGATGCCTGAAATTCCTAAAAATTCCCCAAAATTCCACTTGGATCCCTGAAATTCCCCAAAAAATCCCCAAATTCCCATTGATTTTCATCAAAATTCCCAAAAATTCCAGCAAAATTCCCATTGAATTTTCTCAGAATTCCCAAAATTCCACCAGGATCCCTGAAATTCCCAAAAAAAATCCCAAAATTCCACGTGGATCCCTGAAATTCCCCAAAAAATTCGCAAAATTTCCATTGATTTTCATCAAAATTCCCAAATTTTCCAGCAAAATTCCCATTGAATTCCCTCAAAATTCCCAAAATTCCACCTGGATCCCTGAAATTCCCAAAAAATTCCCAAAATTCCACGTGGATCCCTGAAATTCCTAAAAAATTCCCAAAATTCCACCCGGATCCCTGAAAATCCCCCAAAAAAATCCCAAAATTCCACCCGGATCCCTGAAAATCCCCCAAAAAAATCCCAAAATTTCACCCGGATCCCTGAAATTCCCAAAAAATTCGCAAAATTTCCATTGATTTCCAGCACAATTCCCATTGAATTCCCTCAAAATTCCACCTGGATCCCTGAAAATCCCAAAAAATTCCCAAAATTCCCATTGGTTTTCATCAAAATTCCCCAAAAATTCCCAAAATTCCACCTGGATCCCTGAAAATCCCAAAAAATTCCCAAAATTCCCAAATTTTCCCCCCGAAATTCCCCAAAATTATCTCAAATTTCTCCCAAAATTCCACCCCAAAATCTCCTAAAATTCTGTCAACATTCCCAAAATTCCCAGCAAAATTCCCATTGATTTTCATCAAAATTCCCCAAAAAATTCCCACAGAATTCCCAAAATTCCACCTGGATCCCTGAAATTCCCCAAAAAATCCCCAAATTCCCAAATTCCTCCCAAAATATTCTCAAAATTTCCCCCAAATTCTCTCAAATTTCTCCCAAAATTCCCAGAAAAATTCCTATTGATTTTCATCAAAATTCCTCCCCAAATTTGTCCAAAATTCCCAAATTTCCCCCAAATTTTCTTAAAAACCCCCAAATTTTCCCAAAAATTCCCCCTAAATTCCTCTAAAACCCTCCCAAAATTTCTCCAAAATTCCTCAAATTTACCCCAAAATTCCCCAAATTCCTCCCCAAAAATCCCCAAATCTCCCCCAAATGCCCCCAAAATTCCCCCAAATTTCTCCAAAAATTCCAAAATTCCCAAATTTCCCCCCAAATTTCTCTAAAATCCCCCCAAAACGCCCAAATTTTCACCAAAAATCCCCAAATTTCCTCCAAAGTCTCCAAAAACCCCCAAATTTTCCCAAAAATTCCCAAATTTTCACCAAAAATCCCCAAATTTCCTCCAAAGCCTCCAAAAACACTCAAATTTTCCCAAAAATTCCCCTAAAATCCCCCAAAACACCCAAATTTTCTCCAAAAATCCCCAAATTTCCTCCAAAACCACTCAAATTTTCCCAAAAATTCCCCTAAAATCTCCCCAAAACACCCAAATTTTCTCCAAAAATCCCCAAATTTCCTCCCAAGTCTCCGAAAAGCCCCAAATTTTCCCAAATTTTCCCCCAAATTTCTCTAAAATCCCCCCAAAATGCCCAAATTTTCACCAAAAATCCCCAAATTTCCCCCAAAGCCTCCAAAACCACTCAAATTTTCCCAAAAATTCCCCTAAAATCCCCCCAAAATGCCCAAATTTTCACCAAAAATCCCCAAATTTCCCCCAAATTTCCTCCAAAGTCTCTCAAATTTTCCCAAAAATTCCCCTAAAACACCCAAATTTTCACCAAAAATCCCCAAATTTCCTCCCAAGTCTCCGAAAACCCCCAAATTTCCCCAAATTTTCCCCAAAATTCCCAAATTTCCCCCCAAATTTCTCTAAAATCCCCCCAAAACACCCAAATTTTCACCAAAAATCCCCAAATTTCCTCCAAAGTCTCCAAAAACCCCCAAATTTCCCCAAATTTCCCCTAAAATCCCCCCAAAACACCCAAATTTTCTCCAAAAATCCCCAAATTTCCCCCAAATTTCCTCCAAAGTCTCCGAAAAGCCCCAAATTTCCCCAAATTTCCTCCAAAGTCTCCAAAACCACTCAAATTTTCCCAAAAATTCCCCTAAAATCCCCCCAAAACGCCCAAATTTTCTCCAAAAATCCCCAAATTTCCTCCCAAGTCTCCGAAAACCCCCAAATTTCCCCAAATTTCCCCCAAATCCCCCCAAAATTACCCCAAATTTTCTTAAATTCCCCCAAATTTACAAAATTCCCAAATTTCCCCCCAAATTTCTCTAAAATCCCCCCAAAACACCCAAATTTTCTCCAAAAATCCCCAAATTTCCTCCCAAAGTCTCCAAAAACACTCAAATTTTCCCAAAAATTCCCCTAAAATCCCCCCCAAAACGCCCAAATTTTCTCCAAAAATCCCCAAATTTCCTCCAAAGTCTCCAAAACCACTCAAATTTTCCCAAAAATTCCCCTAAAATCCCCCCCAAAACGCCCAAATTTTCTCCAAAAATCCCCAATTTTCCCCCAAATTTCCTCCAAAGTCTCTCAAATTTTCCCAAAAATTCCCCTAAAACACCCAAATTTTCACCAAAAATCCCCAAATTTCCCCCAAAGTCTCCAAAAAGCCCCAAATTTTCCCAAATTTTCCCCAAAATTCCCAAATTTCCACCTTTTCCCTGGATCCGGCTCAGGCTCTGCCGCAGCCTCGGCCAATCCCAGCCCAGGGCGTCGCTCAGGGCGACGGCGTCGAACTCCAGCGGCCCCGAAATTCCCAAATTTCCCAAATTTCCCGAAATTCCCGAAATTCCCGAGGTCCCCCGAGCCAGCAGGAATTCCAGGGGGGGGCACCTGGGGGAAAAACAAAAAAAAAATTCAATTTTTTCCTGTTTTTTCCCTCATTTTTTCCCAATTTTCTCCATTTTTTAATCCCAATTTTCAGCCCAAATTTCACCACAAATTGCCCAATTTTCCCCCAAAATTTCCCAATTTTTTCCCCCAAATTTTCCCCCAAAGCCCCCAATTTTTTTTCCTCAAATTTTCTAGAAGTCCCCATTTATTTTTCACCACATTTTCCATTTTTTAACCCAAATTTCCCCTCAAAAGTCTGAAATTTCCCCCAAATTTCCCCATTTTTCCCCAAATTTCACCCCAAATTTCCCAATTTTTACCTAAAGTTCCCTCCAAATTTTCCCCCAAAGCCCCAATATTTTTCCCCCCAAATTTCCCAAAATTCCCCAATTTTTTTCCCATCAAATTCTCCAATTTTTAACCCAAATTTCCCCTCAAAATCCTCAATTTTCCCCCCAAATTTCCCAAAATTCCCCAATTTTTTTCCCACCAAATTCTCCAATTTTTAACCCAGATTTCCCCTCAAAAGTCTCAATTTTCCCCCCAAAATTTCCCAATTTTCCGCCCAAATTTCACCCCAAATTTCCCAATTTTTAATCCAAATTTTCCCCACAAATTTCCCAATTTTTTCCCAAAATTTCCCCCGATATTTACTCCAAATTTTCCCGACAATTTTCCCCAAAATTTCCCAATTTTTCCCCATTTTTTGCCCCAATTTTTCCCCATTTTTTGCCCCAATTTTTCCCCTCAAATTCCCTCCAAATTTTCCCCCAAAAAATCCCAATTTTTAGCCCAATTTTCACCCCAAATTTTCCTCCAAAATTTCCCAATTTCCACCCCAAATTTTCCCCTAAGTGTCACCAGAATTTGTCCATTTTTCCCCAAATTTTCCTCAAAAAATTCCCAATTTTTACCTCAAATTTTCCCCAAATTCTCCCCCAAAAAATTCCCAATTTTTACCCCAAATTTCTCTATTTTTGACTTAAATTTCCTCCCAAATTTCCCCATAAAATTTCCCCCAAAATTTCCCCAATTTTACCCCAAATTTACCAATTTTTAGCTCAAATTTTTTGCAAAAATTCAGATTTTCCCCCAAAACTTCCCAGTTTCCCCCAAAATTTCCCCAAAATCTCTCAATTTTTACCTGAAATTTGCCCAAATTCCCCAATTTTTACCCCAAATTTCCCCCAAAATTTCCCCCCAAATTCCCAATTTTTACAGCAACTTTTCCTCCAAATTTCCCAATTTTTGACCCAAATTTTTCCTCCAAAATTTTATCAATTTCCCCCAAATTTCCCGGTTTTCCACCCAAATTTTCCCAAAATTTCTCAATTTTAACCCAAAATTTCCACATAATTCTCCCATTTTTCCCCACAAATTTTCCCCCAAATTTCCTCCCCTAAATTTCCCCAAATTTCCCCATTTTTCTCCCAAATTTTACCCCAAATTTCCCCCAATTTCCACCCCAAAATTTCTCCAAATTTCTCAATTTTTTACCTGAAATTCCCTCAAAATTTCCCATTTTTACACCAAATTTTCAACCAAAATGTCTTAACTTTTCCCCCAAATTTCCTCAAATTTTCACCTCCAAAATTTTCCAATTTTCACCCCAAATTTCCCCAAAAATTCCCAATTTTCCTCCAAATGTCCCCCCCAAAAATTCCCATTTTTTTCCCCAAATTTCCCCCAATTTCCACCTCAAAATTTCTCCAAAATTCTCAATTTTTTGCCTCAAATTCCCCATTTTTACACCAAATTTTCAACCAAAATTCTCAATTTTTTGCCTCAAATTCCCCATTTTTACATCAAATTTTCAACCAAAATTCCTTAATATTTCCCCCAAATTTCCTCAAATTTTCCCAATTTTTACCTCCAAAATTTCCCAATATTTACCTCCAAAATTTTCCATTTTTGCCCCAAAAATCCCCCCAAAAAATTCAATTTTTACCTCCAAAATTTCCCATTTTTCCCCCAAAATTTCCCGATTTTCCCCCAAAAAATTCAATTTTTTCCCCAAATTTTCCCCTTTTCACCCAAATCCCCCCCAAATTCCTCCCATAACCCCAAAATTTGGGGAATTTTGGGGAATTTTGGGAATTTTTCACCCCCGCGCCGCCTCCCGCAGCCGCTCCGAGGAATTCCCGGGAATTCGGATCCGGCACCGGGCGGGGCCGGGAGGGAAAAGCTGCAGGAGCCGCCCCGAAAAAAACTCCAGGAGGCACAGGAGGGTCTGGATTCCTGGGAAAAAAATGGGAATTTTGGG